CTACTAAAATCAAACTAGACTTTTAAATACAGAGAGAAGTCATACGTAACTTTTTTCACTGAATGCTGTAGAGCAATCCAAGCAGAACAGCAACTTTATGTACACAGAAAAAGAAAAGTTTATAAGAATAGTTTTCATGTGGAAATGTGAAAATAACTAGAATTAGAAAAAAAATAAACAACAAAACTAAAGAGGCTAAGTCGGAAATGTATGAAAGCTTGGGACCAAAAGGATAGCACTGCACATAATAAAAACAGTCAATGACATTTTCAGGTTAGAAAGGGCAGAGAATATAAGGCTAGAAAGAATAAACAGACATGTAAGCAGACTAAGCTAGCAACTCATGGGAAGAAACAAAAGAAGGAAGAAGGTGCTCACTCGAGCTGATAATACTATTGGAATCTACCTGTCTCACCAGTGCTACTGAAAATGCAAGATAATTTGGCTTAAACTAGAAAACCAATTTAATTTGTTGCCTCATCTTGACTCATGAGAGCAAAAGAGCTTTTGAAGTGGCTTCCAAATATAAGGCTCTTGAGTACAAGTGAGGCAGAAAAAGCTGCTGGCTCTGCTTATGTCTGGACATGCCACTGCTGCTGCCACAACTTCAGGCAGTGTCAGAGCTGATATACTAATGAGTCCATGAGTCTGCTGCACTTGTAAGTGAAGATGGTAAAGAAGCTCTAAGGGGGAAAAAGAAGAGTCAGAGTACTAATCTGAAAGCAGACTGAAGTTTGTGGCAGGAGGTGACAATATACTGGGGCAGTACAGCAGGGTGGAGAACTCCCTACACACAAATACAGAGTTAAACCAGAAGGGATTAAAACTCTCAAAAACTAATCCTGCACTACTTATTAATTTTTAAAGTATTTACAAATACTTAGCAACATCACATGTGTTTACAAATACTTGGTGCTATCACGTAACAGGATGTCAAAGCAGCAGGTCTGCACTTACTAGCCACAACCTTTCCATGAATCATGACCAGTGAAGTTATCTAAGTTCCAACAGCTGCTGAAACAGTGAAGAGCTCATAAAGTTTACAGTGAACAGGATACAAGGAAAATAACCTAAGGACTTTGTCTTCCAAGTTTAATTCTTTACTGTGTACAAACACACAGACTTCACAAGAATAACCACTTTTCACACCAGCTGTGAGTATTAAGGCTGTCCGAAATTAACCCATCTCTAGTTGCAAAATACATTTTATCATTTGCTCCAAGGACCTAAAATATTTCTAGAGTATAGAACAGCCAAGTCCAGCAAGGGCTGAACCTAACAAAGGTTCAATATCCCTACAACTTGTGAGAATGAGGTTTTGGAACTTATTTTTGTACTTCATTTGAAAGATACCAGCCTAACCATTATCAAGAAAACCCTGAGGATACTTCAAGCTTTCCATAATAAGTTCAAGAAATCATCAGTGGAAAGTACTGTAAGTAATTTCTGCTCAGAGTCGTATGTTAGAATCCAGAAACACTGCATCAATCCTGTAACACAAAGAAGACGCCCAAACTTTAAAAAATAAAAGAAGAGGTTGACTGATAGTGTGTCAATTACTGTGGTAGACCAGCTGACTGGAAGGCATGAACTGTATGTGGAAAATACTTTCAAGGAGTTCTTTGCTCCAACCTTAACGTCTGGACTAAGCCAGAGCCTGAATTTTGGCAGAGTGCACATGTTTCCATTATTTCAGCCTGCTATACCGGCTCTGACATCAAAGCAACCCTGTAATATTTGCAAAGTTCTCTTGGCAAGCCAGAGGAGAAAAAAAACACCTCACAGTAACAGCTTTCAGGAATCAGTTTTTAGTGATGCCACAATGGCCTGCATCACCTCTGAGTTTGCTTCCACCTTTAATACTCTTCTTCATAACATCCATGGCCAGCAACATTTGGTCTCAACAAATGACTGCGTTGATTACTGGGGAAGGAGAGATGCCAGACTTACTGGATACTAAACAAAATGGTTCTCATGCATTTGCTGTATTTAGCAGTAACAGCATTAGAACCATCAGCAGCCACAAACCTAAGTATGGCTGGCAGTTTGTGGAAAATAAAAAACATTTAAAAATCAATCACTAGGTAGAAACACATGGGTGGCATGTCATTTTACGTTTTCCAGGCTAAGCCTTTCAGAAGGCTTTATTAAACAGGCTTCTCCCCACTTCATAGGGGCTGGCATTCTTTTTGGCGATCAATGTTAAATTAACAAATTTCTCTGGAAGTTTAGTGAGGTCCGCGGCTGAATAGGTATCTGAAATTGCTGCCGACAGCTTCTGTCTGGAGAGAAAGCTTGCATCGCCGCAGATTACTGCACATTAACAAAAAACGCCACACCGCCAAAACAGGTGGAGGGTGAAGGGAGACCGGGGAAGCAGCGCTCCGTGCCCGGGCCGGTGCCAGCAGCCCCGGGAGCGCACCCGGGCGGGCTGCGGGGCCGGGAGCGCCGGCCGCACCTGCGGGCAGCGGCAGCCCCGGGCAGAGCTGCGCCGAGCACGTGTGAGCACAGCCCCGACAGAACGAGCTCCGTGGTCACGGCTGTCGCCACAGCAGCCCCGCGGCCCCTCGCCCTCCGGCCGCGGGCAGAGCAGCCGGAGCCGCCCGTGCCCGGGAACCCTCAGGGTGCCCCGCCACGCGGGGCGCGGCCGCCGCCGGCCCGGGCCCGCCGCTCCCTGCGGCCCGGCCGGACCCCGGGCCCCTCCCGTCACTTACTCCTCTCCGGAGCTCGCTCCCGCGGCGGCGGCAGCAGCTCACGGCGGCACCAGCCACGACCCCTCCGCTTCTTCCGCCCCCTTCCTCCCGCAGCGCCGCTGGCCCCGCCCCGGCCCTGCCCTCCACCTCCCGCCGCCGCCGCCGGCAATTTTTGAAGGCAAATCCGGCTGCGTCACTTCCAGCCTGGGAGGACGGGGAGAAGGCCCACCCAGCCGGACCGACGAGCAGTTGGTTTACGTTTGAGCGTTATAACTAAGAGCGAAGGGTTGTTTTGTTTTTAAATTTTAAAGAGTAACGGGGAAAAAAAACAAGAAAGAAAAAGAGACGAGAAAAGGGCAGTTGCATTGGCCGGGAATCGAACCCGGGCCTCCCGCGTGGCAGGCGAGAATTCTACCACTGAACCACCAATGCTTGTGCGAGGAGCGCTCCCTGCCTTCGTGACTCGAAGGTGACGAACACACGTTTCCTTCCCCACCGCACTCGAGATCCCGCCCTGGTGGCCGATGGCTTGCTTCCCTTTAGCTATTTCCTTTCCGTAACTCCCAAATGTGAGTTTCGCCAAGTGAACAGCAAGCAAGCACATGTTCTTTGCTTGTGACTTGTCTGCACTCCTTCAAACTTTCACAGATGGTGTTATTCTGGGGAAGAAAACGTGTCTAAGAGTGCTGAGGAAAACCTGCTGCCGAGCGAGTGGAGTCAGCCCAGGAAACTGCCCTTAAGTATCCTTGATGGAGCAGTACCTCGTCACCTGTCTAAAGAGACTCAGCTGCTTAGCAACAAAGAGGATCTAAAGGTTGAGCACAATGCAGGAGGTTTATTATAGTCCTTCAGGGTCAATTCCAAACCCCCACAGCAGTATGTCATCCTTTAATTAACTATATCACATCCATTCTTACTCGTCTTGTTATTCTATTTCTACCCATTCTTAAACTGGCAGTTTTAGTCTCCCATTTCTAACAAATGTCTACGTTTAAAACAACCATTCCTACATTACTTCAGCTATCAAGACACAGCTGCTGATGAGTTTCTAAAATTTAAAGTGTATCACATCACTTGGTTGATGAGAGCTGGAGGAATTTTCTGTCTCCCCTTTGTAGGTGGGCTAATGAATAAAAAATGTACTGTACTTCCACAGACTCCTCCACAAGTATAGCAGAATCAGGATATAACTCAGTCTCTCCAATAACACATTAGTTTCTGCATTAGCACTTTGAGATGTGCACTTCAAGAAGGGGATTTTCACAAACACAGATGAAAATTGTGATACATTGTCTTCTTAAGGAACAGCTTCATGGTCCATAATGTATGCATAATAATAAAAAATAGTAACAGTGATTCGTAAGATTTACTTATTTTGATGAAAGAGGCAGCAGAGGACACAGAAAGAATACCAACAAATTGATCTCTTGAAAATCAACATGTATACAGAACAGGTTACAAACATGAGGTGACAGCCAAATACAACAGCATTCCTGCTGTTACATGTGTGCCATTTTAATGTTAAACAGTAGAACTGCTGCAGCATAAACAGAACTTGAAGAGGGATGTGAAGGAGGACAGAAAAATAAATGTAATTAGGCAACTAATGTTTACATTTTATGTCTGAATAGCCAAAATAAGAATGTGATTTTCACTTCTTATAAAGGTCCAGTGTGGTGTCTATTATCCCATGAAGTGTTACACTACAGAAACCGATTCTGAGAACAATTTCTATAACTCAGAATGCCACTGACTACCAGTAGCTGATAATTCAGTTAGGCTGCTCATGAGAGCTGGAATTCTTTCTCTTATTCTAAATAGCTTTTAAGAAGGTGTCAGTGCAACCACTCGCATCCCATGCCCCAGGTCAAACACACAATGCTGTGTGTTCAGTCAAAAGGGGCAAGAAAGCCTCCACTGCTCAACTGCTGGGCACTGACAAACTGGAAACCTGGCAGTCCTGGATGGAGGGGATGGATGCTCCAGTGTACCTACTGGAAAAGTCAGCAAATATGCACATTCTTTTCACATGAACACCAGGAGTCTTGGAGATCACAGTCCAAGCCACCACCCCATAAGCCCCAAAGACGCAAGTGTGCCAATGCACATTCAGAGATTGCATGGCACACATGTAGCTGGATTGCAGGAATGCAGAGACCTGGCAAAACAGGATGCCCAGTCATGATCGAGACAAGTAAAGAACACGCAAAAAAATTGGTGAATAACTTACTATGGCCATGAGATAATGCAAAATTGTTAAGTTTACTAGCTAGACACAGAATAAATGAATGATCCGCTTAAGCAGAATTGTGGGATGGTCTATGTATTTAATAGAAGACTCCAAAGAACTGACAGTCTTATAATACAAAAAGGACATTATATATACATATACACACAGAATATGTCTATATATATCTATATAGATATATATAAATCAGTAAACTTGAATAGTGCCTTTATCATGACCATCTTAAGGCATTCAAAACATTTTAGTATGACATTGACCCAATTCATTATCTTTTTTGCTTTGGCTGAAATAAAGCAAACAGATTTTAAGTTCTGATCTGAAACACCCACAACATCTGAAACAAAAGCCTAATAGTATCTTCAGTGACAGCAGCATAATCTAAGAACCCACCCACTGCACTGCCTATCAGCTGAATAATATTAAAAGGAGTCTAAATAAATCATTCCCACTCACAGTTTTTGCACCAGCGGAAGATACATCAGTCTCAAAGAGACTTTCTAAGACAAAAATTCTATAGATTCTATTACAAATTGAAAATAGAAAAGATACAGCAAGAGGGCCTGCCCGAGGATAGAATGCCACTGAATATCATATACTATTTACAGTACAAGTTATAGGATTATAGAACATTTTATAAATACAATTAATATGTATACAAGGACACATAAAAGAGAAACTTGTTTTCATGCTTTACAAAGTAAAGGTAACCTGAACTAAAACTTACTGCAGAACTCCACAACTGCTGGCTAGGAGCCTCTCTTCTCCACTGCCTGTATAAACCAATCCCCATTGTAGGTCACCAGTGAAACACCCATGTTTTAAGCAGCAAATATGAAGAATCTCAACAGACTCTGAATCTATGTCAAGTTTCAAAACATAGGTAAAGCAGAGCATGCTGGAGAGTTGTGACAACATTCATGTGTAACTAACTTTCTCAGAGAAGAACCCGGACTGTAACTTCTTGCAAGGAAACACGTAACACTGCAGCATACAGGTGGCAAAATGCAAACAAGGAACTTCTAACACATGATATTAGAAAATGCCAGAAGCATCTACCAAATTCTAAAGTTATGAGCACTTCCTGTATTTGTTTAAAAAAGGCAAAAGAGTATTTAGTATTTCAGTACCTGCGCATGTCCTTAAAACAATCAATAATTTCCTTTAATAAAAGCAATTGGTTTTTCTTTTTAGACCAATGGTGCCTTTACAGGACACTTATTTATTCTTTTTTAGAATTATTTTTAAATTGCCTAGGATCAGTAATAGTATTAAACAGGAATACACCATCGTATACTATAGTGCAGGCAGAGGAGAAATATACTCAGATGAAAAGGCAATTTTAAGAGTCAATTTAATGAATTGACATTATTTTCTCTGCACACTTCAAAAATGGTGAAGCAGAGGCTTGATTAAATTACCTTTAACCAGCAATATATTATACTTTGCTCCAAGACAAGTAGACCAGTTTTACTGGGATACTTACTAAGAAGGAGGATAATCTTTAAAGTTTATTTACATGAAAAGCAATCTTTTTTACATAATATATAAAATGGAGTAGTTATGCACTGCAACCATTTTATAATAATTAAGCTAAATGAAATTAATCTTAAAAGCTACTCTATTTCAACAGCTGTGGGAAAGGCAGAACAGGACTGTTTTATTAAGCTGCAAACTCATTTTCGTTATAGTAAGCAACTAACAACTTCTTTGAGAAAACTTCTCATAACCATCTTCTAACCATTATAAATGCTTCACAGTAGAGGGGCAAACTTCCACAAACACTTTCTTCTGTGACAAAGTACGTTTAAGAAACTTCCTCACTGCCAAGCTGCTGCAGTTTCCTCAGTTATGTCAATATAAATCATTTTTGGACCACACTAGAAACTGGATCACTCAAATGACTACACTCACAAGAAAGGAAATTCCAAATGCTAACCGACAAGCACTTTCTTCAGTGAGCCAGTATGTAGGACAGTACTAGAGACAGTTGCAGTAGCACAAAAAGAGACACTGGACTCAAGCACAAAAAGAGAATAAATGGCCATAAGCAAACAAACCAGCTTGGTGAGAAAAGTAAACTGGTAACTGATGTTTGCTTCAAGAACAGGTATGAACACCAATTTCATGTTGTTTAGATACTTGCAATGCCAGTGCAATGGCACAAATAATAATTTAGGAAAGCAGTAATGCTTACATGCCATGTTATAAGATTATCCATTGGAATTCAATTCCAAGGAAGAAGAAATGTTTCAAAAGTCATTAAGTTTACTAAAAATAGTGCATTTTTTTACCACTGTGTTTATTTTAAGGAAAAGGAGGATAGAGACAAAAACATAATTCTTTCTGCCTCTCAACACTTAACTCCTGATCTTATCTCGGTGAAACTGCTTAAAGTGATGTTCCCATCCCTGTTCCACAAAACCTCAATGGGCTCAGTACCCTCCATGAGACCCTAGGAGCTACCTGAGCATCTGCTGCTGGAAATTAAGGAAACAGTAATGCAGAAGGCAGCAGGCACAGCTCTAAGTTCCTAATTCTGTTCTGAACCAGGCCGTGACAGAGCATTGAAACTGTACTGCCAGCTGAGACAGAGCCATGCAAAGGCCTTCTCAGTGCCTGTGTAACTGGAAGGAAAACTGTTCCAGCCAAAGCAAATGGGTCTCTACAAGTCTCAAAAGTAATAATTTATAATCTTTTCCCATTACTATCTCAAATTTATCATAAAAATACTACTCTGAAATTTATTTTTCAAACTAAAAATCCCAACTAAAGCAGTACTGTACACACTTTACAGTTTGGCTGTAGTCAGAAAATTGAACTAGATTTCAGAAAGTGTTTCTAAGGCTTCTTTTCCTCTTACATCTATAGAACTGATGACAAGAGACAATCAAGTTGTTTCTGAGTGAGCAGTCCTGCTTTGAGAGGAGTACCAGTCACATGCTAGTGTTACTAATATCAAATCCAATCCCTATTTAATAAAATACTAGTTCTAATGTTTTATCATCTTATGATCATACTATAGTCAAGACTGACACTTTTGTGTTTCAAAGCTGAGAACTAGGCCACTCCCACAGCAGCTGGAAACATTTCACCAGAGAGGTGGCTGTTTTTCCAACACTGTGGATAATGAGGCTAAATACAGTGAGAAGTGAGGGTACAGCAGCCTTTCATTTCAGAAATGTATCCGAGAACTTTATTAGTGTAAAGTAGGTTTTATATTTGGTCAATGCATGGAAAAACTGTGATTAAAAATTATGAAGCAGAGATTTGTTCTCTAAAATTATTCACTATATGTATAAATAGATACCAGGCATTTTAGGGGAAAAATCACTATTTCCTATTTTGAGTACTTAGAGTACAGAGGACCAATAATAATATTCAAGTGACTTTTTTTAACCTCACATCAAATCTCTTCTAAATTAAACAATTAACATCACTGGAATAAATTAATTTTTAGAAGGATTTCCCTATATTCTAGGGAAACAAAATGTACAGAGAGGGAAGATAAAGAAACATTTTTTTTTAGCATTTAAAAAGAAGTGTGCACATATTTACCCTAGCAATCTTCTTTCAATACTCTTAAAGGAAGAGACTTTTCAAAAGCTACAACTGCAAAACTGATTATTTCATTTTTGACTTTTATTCCTCTACTAAACATAAACCAAATCACGACTCTGAACTACTCTACTTGCCTGTTCATCATCATCATCATCATCATCTGACTGCTGTTCTGAATTTTGGGAACTACCATACTCATACTCAATGGGCTTTGGATTATTGTATGGGTAGCCATTGTCATCAAAAAACCTTCGAAAGGTGAACTCATAAAAAGCATGTTCAGGATGTTTTCCATTTTTGTACCACCCATTAAGGGTATCATTTCTGTTCCCCTCCTTATCATCATCACTCCACAATTTATCTGGATCAACTGGATCAAAGTTTGACGTATCCGTAGGATGAGCAATTTTGGGAATGTAGAAAGCAGGCTGTCTCCGTAGATCGCTTGAAAAATCAATTGTTTTGAAAAATGGATGAGCTTTTATTTCATCTGCACCATTTTTGCCTAAACGATCTTCTGGCCCTCGGCAGAGTTTAATAATAAGATCAGAGGCCTCTGGAGTCAATTTAGCCTGAGGTGGAATATGAAGTGCAGTTTGCCAGTTGATAACCTTAAAAGCAAAAAGATGTGTTATTTATTTATAATTTCACAAAAAGAAAAAAATACATTAAAACAACAAAAGAAAACAAATTACTATGAAGAAATAATTCAGTATGTCTAACGTTTTTCACAGTAGAGGGGAAAGCATGAAGTTGCTCTTTCAGAAACACAGGAATATTTTGTCTGGAAATCTGGCAAAATGCAGGCAAGTTTATTCACATTCCAAATCTAAACTAGAGTCTGGCATGGAAGACGTCTGCTATAAACCAACAAAAATACCATAAAATCCAGTACCTGGGACCTGAGCTTAGGTACGTGGCTTACAATCCTGAAAAGGTGAGGCAGATGAGTTTTGAGTTATATGATGTACTGTAAAGCCTAAGAGATTTCAAGTTAAAAAAATAATCAATACTGCACTACATTTGAGCCACCTGAATGCAATTCTGCAAAAAATGACACCTGCAGAAGACTGCCTTGATGCTTCCTCTGAAACAGCAGGGGCTCCGAAAGGAAAAGACCAAAGGCTCTGAGCTATCAGTAGCTCTGAGCAGGCAGTCATCTACTGCTCCTCCACCTTCCCACCAAAGGAAATCCTCTGCAGGCAAACAGGCACAGAAGCCAAGAGGTGGGAAAAGAACAGATACTGGAAGAGGGAAGGGAAGGGGAAAGGGAAAGGTAATAAAACCTGGAACAGATACAAACAGTGAAAGGCTGAGATGTGATGTGATGTTTTGTTGGCATGTTTACTGTACGACCAGGTTAAGTCACAAATGTGATTCTAGAAGTCTCTTTATAAAGACTGTGGAAGTCACCTCCACAGTAACATAAAAGTTTAAAATTGCCATAGTTTAAAACACGCTTGGATAGGCAGTGCTGTCAAACATCACCTTTGTTTCCACTACAAATTAGCAAGACTATGTAAGTTTCAAACCTGTTAATACCAGACTTTTAGAGTTACCTTCATTTGTGTTTCCAGTGGTGTTTGTGCCAGGAATGGAGGCTGCCCCACTAGCATCTCAAAGAGAATTACTCCAACACTCCACCAGTCACACAACTGTGTGTAACCTGAAATAAAGTTCAAATAAGGTAGTCAAGCCTTTGTATAGTTTTTATCTTACATTTCTAAGACTAAAAAAGTTCTGAAGAGAAATCAATTCTATTCAATACTTATTTAAGATTTCCATATTAAAAAATATTTTTTTCTTAAAATATCACATCCTGGGGAGAAGTGGGAGTGTGGGAGAAGTGAAGCAGCACACCTGAGTACCAGTCACTTTATAGTGAGACTGCAGTACAAAACCACATACATTACCTGTTCGTAACAACACTTCTGGTGCAATGTAGTTGGGTGTGCCCACCAGGGAATGGGCCAGGCAGCGCTGGTGCTGCCGTGCAGCCCTGCGCTCCAGCGGCTTCAGCCGATCCCCACATCTGCAGTTTGCTGGGTCACCCCACTCACTGCTGAAATCCATACTGTCCTGACGGGCATGATCACCTGCCATGGAGTGACAAAAATGGCAAAACTGACGATGGTTACTTTTGTTCTTATCTAATACGACATTTTCTTTAACCATTAACATTCTGTGTTACAAGACAGAATCTTTTTCAGTTTCAATACTGAACCTGAGAGTTAAAACAAAAATCAACATCAAGATGTTGATTTTTATTTATGATATAAAACACCAACCTCTGAGGACACAAATTTTTCAACTAATTTTTGACTTAACTATGAAAAAATACCAATCTTGATACTTTTCAGATTTTTCTTAACATTTTCTAGGGTGTATAATGTGTATATTGTTTTTACACTTAACGCAAACATAAACCTCTAACATTTAAATCACAAAAAAAAAACCCAGATTTTAAACCTTTATCTTCTCACCACAGACTGTGTAACAGTCTGGCCTAAGATATGTGACATTTTGAGAAAAACTAATCATAAGTAATGTAAACCTTGTTTTTGAAGGTATGTTTTTATTTTTGGAAACTAAAAACAAGCTATCACATAATTTGTATTTTACCACTCTCAAAAGCGTGACTTTTCTTTTGCTCCAACATTTTCTTCAGCTGTTTCAGTAATCAAGTAGGATTCTGAAAAGCCTATTTAAACCTTCTCATAAAACAAACAGCACAGTCATCTTTCTACTCATTTATAATTTAATTCCTTGTAAAGAATACTTGGATTTCTCTTACCGCTCTGGTAGTATTTCGAGTCATGGGTCCATCGAAAACCAGTACAGAGCCCGAAGTCAGTCAGTTTGATATGACCATCACGGTCTATCAAGATATTGTCAGGTTTAATATCTCTGTGGATGAAGCCCATTTTATGAACACTCTCAACTGCGCACGTCAGCTCTGCTGTGTAGAACCGTGCCAGATTTTCTGGGAAGACGCCCATTCTAATTAGGAGACTCATCATATCACCTCCTGGAATGTAGTCCATTACAAAGTACAAATTGTCCTTATCTTGGAATGAATAGTACAGGCGAACTACCCATTCATTATCAGCTTCTGCAAGGATATCCCGCTCAGCTTTAACATGAGCAACTTGATTTCTAAGCAAGACATCTTTTTTCCTCAGAGTCTTTGTTGCATATAGAGCATTAGTATCCACCTTTCTTGCTAGGCAAACTTCTCCAAATGCACCAACTCCCAGGGTTTTAATTTTTACAAACATTGATTTGTCCATTTTAGCTCTTCTTAGCCGAATGTAATTTGACTCTTTCTGGCACAACATTTTCCTCATTTGATCCCGGGCTTCTGGTGACAATCCAACCTATGCAGCAAACAGAGTTAAATCTGAAGAGTGAACTCTTAATTCTTGGTGATCTTCTCATGATTAATTACAAGGCTTAGGCAAAGCAAGCCAAATACTTATACACAGCACAAGAAATAATACTTAAAGGGATTTGGTTTTATTTTAATTTACACATTAGGATTCTATGAAAACATATAGGAGTGATAAAAAACTGAAATGTGATCATTTTCAACAGCAAAATGCACAAGGTGCCATGCACCAGGAGGTTCTAGAGAAGGGACTACTACATTCTTAAGAAAGGTAATTTACAAATTACTGATAAAAACCACTGCAAATAATATTATCTGAGGAACAGCGTGCATCAGCTGCCTCCCTGATTCTCTTTACAGGGTTAAAGAAAGCCAAGACACGTCTGTGTCTTAGCTGAGGGCTAAGGAGCTGCCATGGGAAAGGCAGACTAACTGGAGCAGAAGTCACTGAACTTCCTGACCATGCTCTAGAATTTCAGCTGCAGGAGGGAGTATGTATTCCCTCTCACTCTCTCACTTCCACGTGTAGCTACCTGAAATAGATACTACTGGCTTCCTACTGCCCGCCCACACCAAGGCCGTGCCTCTGCCACAAGCTGAGACCAACCGATATTCCTCTCATCACATAACACACCCCCTTCTAAGAGGACTTTGCTCACACTCAACACTGCTCTCCACTCTTCCTAGGAACCAGCTGAGCAGAGAACTTCCTTTTGAAGTGGCTCACTCATCCTGACAATATCTTTTCTTGGCTCCCATCTGTGTACATATCCCTCTCTTGACTGAACACCCTATGTTCCAGCCAAAGCCACCAACATTCTGACAGCTGAAACACTCCCAGACCACACACAACTCATCACCTACAGCGTGAAAACCTTTATCTACAAGAACCACATTGATCACTCTCATTGTACTCCAAACCTGCATGCCCTCCTGGTATATTTTTGCTGGTTTCAATGCCCTTAAGAGTTCCATTCAATTTTGGTGCCATTTATCTTGGCAAATTTCAGGACCTGGAATCAAAATAATCCTTCTTCTTTGTTTTAATATTAATAGAACCTGTCTTCAATTTTTTAATATTTTTTTTCTCTGTGACACTATCCCCAGCTTGATGTTCATTCCTTCTTTTGTTTCCTGACAGCATTTTCAAATTACTATATGCTACCTTTCTCACAGCATCTCCATTATTTTATCTGCCTATTGGACTTGAAATCACCATCCCACACTAATGATTTCCAAGTTCAACTTATAGCATACTTCCTTATTTTTTTAATGGACATGTTGATCATAAACTCAAACATGGCCAGACTGAACACTGCAAACATCACAACTGTACTTGAGCACTATTCTAAAAGCTTTCCATTTTTTACTTTAACATTGATTCTTGATACCAAGTCTTGCTGCTTCCATCTCTTTAAAGCCTCAAATATGTGAGATACTGTCTGCATAGCAGTATTCAGAACCATTAATAGGACTAATTAACTAGTCTAGGCCTGTATAGACTGTATGTTAATATATGACTTCAGCCTTGTCTGACTTCCAACATAACTTGAAACAAAATATAATAGAGGTGACTGACAAAAAAAGGCGAAAAATAATCAATTTGATATCACTCAGTATCTTAAAAATGCTTTCACAAGTTACTATATGTCACCAATAAAGAAAATACTGTTAGAAAACAGAATTTCTTACAGGCATCATAACAAAAATGGATCCAAAGGAGATGCAATTAGGAAAATGCATACAATATGATTGTCTACCCAAATGAATTTCACAAGTTATACAAATTTGGTAAGATTTAAATGGAGAAGACTGTCACAAATTTGAGATAAATTTTTTTGTAGACATCAGATAGGCATTAGTTAAAACTGGTTAGCTGTAGTTTCAAGACTGGTGTGGGAAATAGGTTCAACTACATGCTTTTAATCAAAAAATTGTCTTATTGCAGGAACATCTGCGTAGTGTCTTCCAAGACAAAAACATCTGAAGTTTTCCACGAATTAACAGACTTAAGGCACACTTCAGTACAAAAGGAAGGATGTGCTTTTAAGACTTGCAAATGTCAAGAAGACAGCTGAAGACCTGAACCTGGTAAACTTCAGATAATGGTGGGTCACCTTCTTAAAGCCCATCTGAATCCTAAAGTTTACTTCAGTACAGACCCACTTGACACAACTGAATACAAACTGACACAAACTGAACCCCACCCATCACTGAAAAAGCTTGAAAAGGAAAAAACCTACACGGCAACAAACTCCTTAGGTGTGAGACTCAATACAATCATTAATCACTGTGAGACATACAAAGATTCACCAAAACCCCGGTTTTTGAAAGGTTTGCTTTCTTCTACCCACTCTCTAGCTCTTGCATCTGGACTGCTTTATAATAAAAAACTAGCCCAAGTACTGCAATTTATCATCTCTTCCCTCAACCCTTGATTTTTCCCTGTCATCCACTAAACCAAATGTTAATTACAAACTTTCTCTCTGAATTGCTGTATTTTCCCTAGAACTCTCCTCAGCTTCAGCATTTGCCAAAAATTAACAGACTGTCAGCTGCACAAACTTTTCTGCACGTGTATCTCCAATTATTTCATGACATCAGACACCAAATGTTTTGCTCTCTAGCATCACATAATTTGCTCTCATTTTGCTTCCTTCTCATCTTGCTGTGCCTTAAAGGATGACTTAAGTTTCTCTTTGCAGGAAAGACACCTATTACAACTCTTGGCTGAACTTACACATCTAAATCAAACATTTTTGAGACCACTCAGCTCCTAGGAGACCTAACACCATAGAAATATGTCACATATGTTAGAAATACAGCATCTGATGAAAGCAGGTGTTTTCACAGGGATGCATTCTGAGTTTTTTTCTTTCAAAATTCAAAGGGTAGAAAAGAAGGGTTTTAATACTTGCTTAATCTTCTTAAAACTTTCTGAAAATAAACAATTTTCCTTTCTCCTTCTCATGAAGGCCCAAAATATAGTTTACTGTTGTGGCATTCCTCTCCTGTATGCTTATGAAAAAGGAGAGGTCTGCTGCAGTACAATAACCCATCTTCCACCCTCCAGCCTGTAATTAAAACATCCCAGCTTTAAACCCAGCATAAACTATTAAAACTATAGCATTAATATTATAAATATTCTACAATTAATATTGATAATCCATTAATAAGTAATTGAATTAATATTAAAAATATTATGTAATACCCCTACTATGGTGCTTTAAAAGCCCAAGAAAAAATATCAAGCAAAGTTCTATCAGTGCTTTCATAAAAGTAATACTTATTCTGAGATACTACAGAAGACAACACAGTAAGAAGGGAAAGTGAAGTTTGCAAATCAACATTAATTATAATCTTACATTTAAGTACTCAAAAATAGCCAAAATAAATTCATGCTTAATTTTGATGCAGGATTGCATGCAAAGCCCTCTAAAAAGGCATCATGCTATTCTTAAGAAACACTGTTGCTTCAGAATCTTACTTGTCTACACAGGGATGGAGGCTACAGAGTTCAGGAAAGCTTCCCACACCTTAACAGTTTAAATCAGCTGTTAGTGAAGTGAAAAAGGAAAGAGAGAAGACTAAGAATAAAGATCTAGTAAGAGTTCCAGGACGAAATCTTGCTAACATTTACTTATTCGTGATTAAGTAAACACTTATAAAAGACTACAGCTTACAGTAAAATTTTTCAAAGAGTAAGAAAATACAGATTTAAAAAACAGCATGTCAAGAAAGCAGTATAAACTAAATAGATACTCTCATAAAATAAATAAAAAAAGAACATCATACTTATGCCAAACTTTCAACTACAATTGTTAAGAAATATATTTGTGTGACAGATCTCAATTTCACCTTTCTGCAAATATTAGTTTCACTACTTCTCACTGTTTTCTCTTTTGAAATTACATAGGTTTGTCAGCTCCAGCTTTTACCCTTTTGATTTGGTTTAAGAGAGCATTGAAATAATAGAAATAGACCACTGACTTCATGCAGACACAAAACAGTTGATTTCACATGTATTTGTTTTATAATTATGCCCTTCGATTGCTCTTGTTTAAACAGATTTCAGTGCAGATTACAAAATAATTAGACAAAAGATACCATCTCCTTCATTCTAAAAAAACCCCAACTAACATTTAAATGCTTTTTATTTTAACTTAATAAAACTATCCCTACTGGTAACAAACTGCAGAATGTAAATCATATTACTGTTTGGGTGTCCAAGTAAGAGCACTAGCCAGACTGCCACTTGTCCCCACTTTGTTTGTACCTTCAGTACTTATTTTTAAAAAATAGAAATAGTTTTTTAAATCATTAAAATATTGCCTGTAATTCAAAAATCAGGATTAAATAGAACCCATAACAAAAAGCTATGAGCTATGTAGCTACATTTCAGTTTATGTAACAATTATTTCACTTCTGCTGCCTTACTTTTTGTAGGCCATAAGAATTACCTTTAGACAGCCAAAAAACTTACTTAAAAATAAATTTCTAGGAAGAAAATTAAATATATAAACAAGACACAGAAGAAACTTGCCACATCTCAAATACGAAGATTAAAAATAGACTTCAATGCCACAGGTTCTAAATGCTCTACTTATTGGTACTATTTAATTCTACAATGAAGACTACTATCTCATAAAAGTAATGCAAGAAAACTTTAGCAATAGATTTAGAAAGAAGCAAGAGTTTACCCGCATCATTTCATTCTCTAGTTGTTTTTTCCGGTGCAAACGTTGCTGGTGTGATTTGAGTATATTCTCCACATGCTGCTCCATGAAGAATTTAAAGGCTTGAGGGGAATAACTTTGAATGCGAGACTCTCTTCTTTCTTCATCTTTCTTGTTTTTTCTAACAGGAACAGGTGAGGTTGTAATTTGTTTCTTTTCTTTATCTGTTGAATCAACACATTCATAACTCTTTTCATTCTCATCCTCCCTGGACAAAGGAGGTGGCTCCTCCTTGCTGAGCTTGGGTCCTGCCTCATACAGATTGACAGAAGGATTCTGATGTAACAAGTGTTTAGGGTAAGGTGGTGGGGGACCCTGGTAATTTGGAGCCTCCGCAACAGGAGACATAACTGCCATATTGGTAGAGGGGCTGTCGGAGAAGGGAATGGTCTGAACAGTTTGCACGGGCTGTGGCATCCAGGAAGGGTGAGTGGGTGCCAAGGCAGTCTGCAGCTCTGGTTTCAACACTCGCATGCTTTTCACTGGCTGCTGAATGGGAGCTGGCGTTATGGCTGTCACCGTGGTGGCAGAAGGCTGGGAGCTGCCAGAGTGACTCTGCCTGCTGCCGTGATGGTTGTTGAAGGAGTTTGACCGCACGGGAATACTGGGCTGCCACGCAGGCAAGTCGTGCCCATTGCCTGGTGACGACTGCGGCTGCACAGGGGAAGGCTGTGACCAGGATGCAGGTATTCCAGCCACATTTGTGTTGTAAAGTTCCAGGTTGTGACTATTTCTGTTTGGCACCATTATTGCCTGAGGAATATTCCCATTGGTGTATGCTGAAGGAGGAGCAGATCCTCCTGCCTGCATCTGTAGTGCTGTGGGACTCTGCCTGTTAGTTGGATTCATTGGGTATGGGGGTGGCTGGCGACTCACCGAATTTCCAGACACCACATTCTGATGAACTATGAATTCTGACTGACAATTGCCATTTTGCATTCCAGCTCTTCCAGAGGGAAAACTAAATTTACTGTTGGCAGAACTCTGCATGATTATTGGTTGCCTGCCAATGGGGACAGCATTCATGCCTCTCTGACCCTGTGTGGATGAATTCATAGGAGGAGGATTCATAGGTGGAGGTGGATAACCATCCTGCCATGTTCCTGGTGGCACTGGAGAAATACGGGAGATCACATATTCCATGTTTCCAGAGTACCGCTTTGTTTGAGAATTTGGCTCCCAGGAAGGAGGTGGAGGAGTAGTTCCCCTTGGAGGGGGTGTCTGCCCCCGAGGAGGAGGAGGAGGAGGAGTGACACTCCTTATCTGTGGTAGAGGTGGGGGATTCACTCTTTGTCCATTGGCAGGATGAGCCTGAGCAAATGCCGCAATGCCAGATCCAGATAATGGCCTTCCTACATCAGGCTGCGAGCTGGGGCTTTCTGAGCGATAAATGACACCCTCTGCCAGGGAAGGGCCGTGCCGCTGAGGAACCAAGGACTCCTTAGAACCCTTCCAGCTCTGCTTGCGGTTAACTGACTGCTGGACAGCCCCTGCTTCCACGAGAAGAAAACACAGCATTTTTATTATTGGAAATTATTCCTGTTTACTGCTTTGAGTATGTTGTTCTGCGTTAATTACTACAGAAACAGGAATTGAGTTCCCTGACACAATATGATCCACTGTACTTCACATGAAAACTTTTTCTAGTAATACATAGCACAGCATGCTAATATGCTCAGTGTACATATAAGAGGAAAAAAAAAAAAACCACATTGAAACTATAAAACTATAATACCAGAAAGTGACTTTTTAGAAATAACTTTCCTGAAAATTCATTTTGCTTCAGTGAAAACGTAAAATTTAATTGAAAAAAATGGTAATGTGCAAAATTATTAGTCATTGTTAGTCAATGTATTTTTAATTACCTGCACAAGAAATTCTCAGAATGTTCAGCACAAATGCAAAACAAGTAATAGTGTGGAAGAATATTTTATGTTGCTATCCCTTCCAGTTAACACTTGCAAAACACTTAAGTGTTCTCAAACTAAAATTTAACTAAATGCTGTAAAATCAAGGTTTGCACCCTTATATGCATACAGATCACCCAGACTTGCTAAATTCTCCTAATGCAGAATTTGACTAAGTACTTTAATTTTAAAAGTTGTATCTTTTTGGGAACCAGTGCTGTAGATAGAGAGGCAAGAATTAAAACTGCATGAACACAAAACTTACAGAGCAAAACCTCGCTCTATATTTACTTTGCAGATGCTATTTTGCATCATATAAACAAAATATACAAAGAACTGATAGTGCAGGCAGTCTTACTGTGGTTTTTATAATGGTAACACTAAAATATCTGTAAACACACTAAGTACTTTAATTGCTGAAAGTCACCCTGTCCTCAAAGAATGTGTTAATTACTATATTTTTGCAGGTAACAATGAAAACTATGTCTACATGGTGGAATTTACCTATGAACTTCATACAAGCACCAACTAATCCTGCTTAATAGACTAAAGGAAAAGAACACTTTTTTCTTTGCAACTCCTGACTAATTTTTGCTCCTACCTATATTGTTGATTTAAAATCTAACTTCAGTTCCAGCAGCTCAGCACCCAACTTCCGTAAAATAAAAGTTCAGTATTTCTGCTGCATTTTAAAGTTACTCTTTTTTTAGGTGTATGCTACTAAAAAGGCATCAAGTTGTATTAAAAATGTGCTACAATCTGTTTAGAAAGCAATAATAACAAGTGGCAAAATTCTGACTCTGCTAGTAAAGACACAGTCTGTCCTCTAACATATCTAAGAACATGAAGCCTGCCTTAAAAACTATACAACCAAAAGCTAGAACCAAGCAGGAAATTAAGCAGAGAGGGATCCTGGAACATCACATCCTAAAATACAAATATCATAGTCATCCGATATATAAATACACACACAGACAAATACATACACAAAAATGCACATACAGAATGCTGTTGTGTGGGAGTGTGTGTGAAGAGAGACAAAAAATTAAAAGAATTCTTCAATGCTCAGCACTTATTTCTTAGTGGTGCCTGGCAGAACAAAACACAGGCACCACATCAGCAAGGTAACAGAAATTACCAAAATGAGATCTGAATGCCATTCCTTGTATGAAATGTTTATCCACAGTAATAAAACCATGCAGTTATAAAACAATGCTTAAGAAACTCATGTTAAATGGACCTATCTTTCAGAAGGATTACATCAGATATGTAAAATGCTGTTATTAAAAGCAAAATACCTGCATCTCAGCATTTCTGTGCTACTACGAGCATGTGAAGGCAAAATTTACTATGTTCTATGTTTTACCTATAAGAATACACGCAGTGAGTTACTGAGTCACCATGGATACACTTACCTGGCGGTTTCATACCTGCATTTACAGGTCTTGCTGCTGCTGCAACCATCTGTTCCCGACGAGGATCCTGGTAGCTCATTTTACTTATAAATTCAATGGCAGCCTCTATACTACGGTTGTTAGTTTGTCTAAGAGCTTGTATAACCATATCCTAGAGAGAAAATTATATACAAAAAATTACTTACAAGATTCCAAAAATCATGGTTATTTAGCCAAATAACCTCCACTAATTTTTCCAAAGTAATTCTACAAAGTATCAATTTCTCTCAATTGTTTGAGAGTTAATTTTAAAATGTCTTCTTCAGAAGAGATAATCCAAAATAGTACTTCAGTCTCAATGTTCAGAAGAAAAGTTAACTTGTTGAAGCATTGTAGTTTGATATAAATCATGTCACCTTGCTATTCATAGAACAGTTTGGTCATACAACCCTTAAAAACGGATGTTATAAAAAAACCCTATACAATAAATTTGTTACAATCCTTATGGACCAGCTGACATTAGAAAAAGCAGATACAACATTTTCAGCTCAAAAATTTGGTCACCTATGCAATATGAATTCGTTAATGTCTTAAAGAATATCACTATACACAGAACACATGAGGATTGAACTTGAACCATAGTAAGCAAATGAGATTTTCTGTAAGGTATTTAGGATTAAAAAAACCCGAATACAATCAACAGCATTCTACCCTGATTATTATACATATACATACATATATATATAATTATCTATATACACACACACATCTGATACTTATTGATACCTATCTGTTCCACTTTACCCCTTAATGCTACCTACTACCTGAGAGGTGGGGAAAAAAAAAAAAAAAAAATGTGAAATTTAATTTGAAAAAAAAAAAAAAAAAAAAAAAACAAACCAAAAACCAAAACCAGTCTTCTTCTTGACCAAGAAAACTGCTTTCCTACTTCAGCTGTATCTGCTCCTAGTGACGTATGCGGATCAGTGCCATATGGACTATTGTGATAACAAACTGTAGGTTAACACACGGCAGAAAGGGCTTATGCTGACACTGTGCCTGAAAAAAGCCCCAAACAATCACAAATGTCATGGGAATTTGCAGTTGTATCCAAGAACAAAGGGTAGAAGCAAAAGGCTTCAAGATCCAAAGGATCCAACAAAAACACCACCCTAAGACACCTTTCTAATTTATTGTCCAGCCACATACCACAACCTTCAGTTTGCTAAACTGGCTGCAGGTTCAAATCTGTAAAAACAGAGCTGAGAACCAATCTACTTTGAAAAAACTTGCCCCAAAATCCCACACAACAACAACAAAAACACTTCCTCAACCTCAGCAATGAATCACAGAGCTGGAGCAAAATATTACAAAAATAATTTATAAAATCCTTCCATTTTTCCTGACACACAGTCTGGTCTCTGTATTTGATCAAGTGAAAAGAACATTAAAAGCCACTATCGGCACTTGGCTTGACTGGGATGCTGCTGAAGAAAAGCCAGTTGGTAGTTTTGGAGAAGCTCACTCTTGGTAGAAGTAGATCTCTGTAAACACCAAAGCATCACAGACAGCAGAACTCATGAGCTGGTCACTACTGCAAGCAGGGCACATCTGTAAAGGTAATCCCTGCTGTGGTACTGTGCCTTTTTCCTTTGGAAAGATGAGTGGCTTGCCAGCTCTTTTTAAACATGCTTTTGTACCCAGGTTTACAAAGGAGGCATGAAAACAAGCATGATTTATGTGATGTGCAGGTCCCAGTAAAAACACAGAAGCTGTAAGTGTATTGAAGTGTATTTCCTTTCTGGAAACAACATTTCAGATTAATTTCCAAAATATTTGGTATTGCCTTTCAATTTAGAATGGCTACATTTTATCAACCTATTTTAATTGAGCACAATCCAAAATTACTTTGAGCATCAGAGGCAAAATCCACGTTCTAGAGTCCAGTCCTCTCTGACTAAAATTATATAAATAATTAGAACAACCTACCACACAAGAACAATCTGGATAAGATGCTTAAATAAACAAAGCCAAGTCTCTCTAAATCCTTCTAGTCCTCTTCTACATCTCCCACTATTACCAGTTTCATGTCTTAATGAGAAATCTACCAGATTTTGAAGCTTTTTGCTTATCGTGCTGTTCAAACATTCCCTGACCAGCACCCCTCCAACATGCATTAATAGTTTATAGCTAGCAGAACACCAAATCTTCAAAATAAAACACTTCACCTCATCAAAGCCAGCAGCTTGCAAGTCTTGCAGCATTTGTCGATTAACTTCTGATGTTCCTTTGACAGCTGAGGTTGCTTCATTTGCAAAAGGCAGAAGTGAGTTTCTTATCTCCTGCAAAACCTTATGATATGTTACAAATTTGGGGGGATTTCGGCCTTGTCTAGGATCTTCAGGTAACATTTTGCCCATGCTGTGATCAGCTTTAGCAGCATCTGAGGGTTTAGGCAGATTCCTGAGGCTCTCTCGTATTTCCTGTAGCATCTGCTGGCTGCTGCCAGTATAATTACTGGCAGGAAAAGTTTTAGGCCTCATTTGTCTATAACCTTCTGGCTTCTCACTTCTCTTCATGAAAACATGTATATATGCAACCTCCACCAAGGACTCGCACACACCAGAATTCAAGGAAGACTGGCTGATGTCAGAACTTGAGAAAGCAGTGGCTCTTCACTGTGAAATCTTGGTTCCTGTAATGCTGGAGCTTGTCACAACCCAAAACTGCTATTCTGTTAACAAAACAAATCACATTTAACAGATCAGTAAAAAAAAAAACACAATGCAGCACTGATGGCAGTGAAACATTCACATGCAGCACTGCCTTCAGATATTAAAAGCACACTAAGCAAATTCTTCAGGCAGTCTTTACTCAGCCTAATTTACAAACCATATTGGGTTTTTAACTGTCTGTTAACAACTAATGTTTTAGGCGCCTCAAGTCTAAACAGTCCTGAATTGCAAAGGATGCAGACACAGTAAAAAGCTCTGTGTGGTGGACAAAGCTTTCAGGAGCAGATATGAACCACTGGTGTGTGCTAACTCAGCACTGCTTCTTTGCCTCCCCTCTCTCCTGTGTCTGTCACCTATGTCCTCCCCATCAGCACCTTTGTAATAGGAAGATCAAACTCTACTACCCAGTCAGCCAAGATATGGGTCAAATCACCTTGCTGTTCAATGATTCTGACATCTAATTCCAGCAAAAGATGGGAGTGAGAAATTCACCAGTAAGAGCATGTAATTACAGTGATTTTATCCATTCTCTAGCAGTCACATTTATTAAAACTAAACACTTGTCTGGCTCATCACATGGAACTTTATGACTTCTTGTATCATCTGCCACTTACATATGTTTAACAGTTCAGATTCTGAAGCTTTCACAGTCTCTTAGCTCAAGTCTCCTTGAACCAGTCTTCATCAATAGTTAAGTAATTTTAAAATTTATTTTACATAAGGGAAAATGAGAGCAGAAAGAGAAACAAAGAAAATTTTTATCAGTTTTTTTTTTTTTACTGAAAAATTGTTTAACAACTCAAGCATCAAATTCACTGAGAGCATAGCTATGACATTTGGTAAGGGAAACAGAATTTTCTGCCAAAAGCCAAATAAAAAACGTTTGCATTTTGAAGGCGCTGACTCATCAGGGAAAGAGCCCTGTGTGTGCAGAGAACTCAAATCTCTGTGTTCAGGCTGGGCATTAATTATTACTGCAACTGCATGGCAAAGGATAAAGCAACCACAGTGAAACACTGAAGAAATTGCAGAGCATTTGCCTCTTTAGAATACCATGGAATTAAACTTTTTCAGTCCGTACTGTTTCACAGAGGAAGATCAGTTACTAAGATAGTGCAAGATAAACTAAAAGCTTCAGCGCTGTCTTTTCTTCACAGGCAACAAAAATGTTGAAGCCCAACACAGTGTTCCTTCACTACTTGTTGCTAAGCATTTCTGATATTAGACATAAATTAAACAAGTACCAAAATTTTACAGTCTACAATAAAGTCACTCTTTCTTCATTCAGGTTTCATTTCTATAATACTTGCACTGTCACAAACCAATCAGTGATCAAGCAATTGAGGAAGAATATGACAAGTTAATAGGAAAAAGAACCGTCTGAAACACATGCAGATAATATGAATTAAATACTCATGCTACCTATATATAAATAAAACCTGAAAACTAGGAAGTAATACATAAAAAAGGACTGCAAAAAGTAACACTGAAGGTATATCCACTTAATCCCATTCTCCTTGGAGAACCATTTTAGAAATAACAGAATTTCTCTTATGAAACTTTCTAAACCTTAAGGGGTATAACTGCAACCACAAGCCTTCTTTGCACTGTGATAGCTTTGAAACCTTAAATGAGTGTAGTTGGGGAGCTATATGTTTCTTTAATACAGTCTGATAGCATCTAATTCTTCAGTGCTCACTGAATAAGGAAGAGATCATCAGACATGAGTGAATTTTAATAATCAACAGTGAAATATTGCCCAAAGTATTAAGAAATCAGCAGAAAGTAGAGCATGAGAGCTATTAAAATGTAATTTAATTTTGGCCACTTTCAAAATAATTTTCCAAACATGCCGTATTTAAGACCACATTGAAAATACTTTTTCCAAAGAAAATTAAGTAAGAACTTGACAAAATACCCATACACAAGTTTTTAACAAATTCCAAAGGCCTGGAATTCAGGAGAAAATGGGGTTTTGCACTGACATATTTTAGAAATTTCATCTGGTATTTCCATATTCACTTCATAGTTACACCTCGGGTAGCTGGCATAGATAAATCTAACACCCTCTAGGAGAAATCAAGGTTAAATTAACAGGAAACTAAAATCATAGATCAGGAGCAGTCTTGGGAAATAAAGCTGCACTCCAACTTAAATTTTTAGCAGCAGTTTAGAAGTGTAAACCAGCCAGTCCACTTATCTCCCACCACTTACCACAGACAGCATAACTGTAAGGTCAGACAGACAGCATGAACCAAGCTAAGGAACTTAGCCAAATAAATAACATTTTTTGGTGGGTTGTTCCTTTTGACAGCACTGATGGGTACCAGCATGTACATGTGAAACTAAGTCTTAATTCTTAGAAAACAAATTAAATTAGTCCTCCAGAGAACAGGAATTACTAGAGTTTACCTTGCTTTATATATAAATCTCAAAACTCAAAAGTCACCTCTGCTTATAGACACTGGCACACATTTTAAAGGAAGAGAGTGTTGAGTAAGTATCTCAAGTGAGTATCCAAACTTTGTACTTCTAAGTACCAAACACCAACTGTACCCAAGAGAACTGATGTCTATTCCCTCTTGTAGTTTTGTGTCCTTAAATAATCTGTTTGTCAATGCAGCTGTTTTTGCTGATTAAATTTTCTTCCCTAAAGGAATTGAGGAATTGAAAAAAATAATCTTTCACTTCTTTTCAAAATATGGGAATACAGTATTTTCTTCTACAGGTCAAACTGTAAGGGAAAAGAACGCCCATCATGTTTTTTTCTACATTATAATCATAAAAGATTGGACTTATATTTATATAAATGCTTGGATGAAAGCTCAGAAGTGTTCAGGGCCAGGCCCGATGAGGCTTGGAACAACTTGGTCTAGGGGCAGGGAGCTGACAAGAGATTATCTCTAAGGTCCCTTCCAACCCAAACCAGCCTGTGATGCTCTGAATGGCAACATGCAACTGTCAATGATTCCCATGATTTTCTGAGGGTAAAAATACACAGCTTTGTAATCTAACTTATAAAAATAAGTTATAAAATTTCCTTATAAAAATACTTTCAATGCCCATATTGCCAACTGAGTACTGAACATCACATATTAATGTATGTAGGTGCCCTCCCTCATGTACCTATTGTAAGAGCTTATACATAATCACAATGCTTCATTGCTAGGGATAAACAAAGTAACAGAAACCTCACAAATCATAAAATTAAGTTTGTAAGGACTTGTTCAGACCGACTAAAGGAAGCTCTTCTTTCAGGTAACAAGCCATTGAGCTGCAACAGCAATTCCCCAAAAGGATGCACTTCCAATGCAAAAAGTTTTCATAGGATAAGGAGAAAACTGGACCCCCAAATTAGCACATAAGCACAACTGCATATGGTCAGAGAAGCCAGAGCTGGGAAGAACCAGAGACCAGATGAACACTAGGAACATTGGTGCACTCGCTCGGTTTGTTTCCATTCTTACGCTCTGCTATCTCCTTTAGCAGGATGCAGCTTCTCTACGTACACATGTACTCCCGGGAGCAGCAGGAGTCATTTGAGGCGCACCTGGGAGCGATCTTCAGGGCTAACACCTGCAGGGCAGCCAGAGCCCCGCTGCGCTGGCTCAGGCCGGCACGGATCGCTGCAGGACAGCAGCACCCGGCTCCCAAGGACCAGGCAGGCAGGAGGCTTTCCCGGCCGGGAGGAGCACCCCGAATGTACCCCGCTGGGACACCAGCGCTTCTGCCGCCTCGCCGGCCCCAGGCCGTGCCCTGACGTCGCTGCTGCCACGGCTGCGTCCCGCAGAGGCCCCAGGACGTCGGGCCGAGCGGAGCGGGCCCGCTACCGCCCCGGCCCCGCGCACGGCGGACTCTACCTGAGGCGACAAGGCGGCGGGGCAGCGCCCCGGGCGCCCGGAGCTCGGCCCCGCCCGCGCGGCGCCGACCGGCCGCGGCCCTTCCCTTCCTTCCGCCCTTCCTCCGCCCCTCGGCGATGCCGGCAGCGCCCGCTCGGTCCCTCCGCCAGCGCCCGCCGCCGCCCCGGGCCGCTCAGTTCGGCGCCGCCATTTTGTCGGTGTCCCCGGCGCGGAGCCGCCCGGATGTGGGCAGCTCCCGGCCTGCCTCGCGCGGCTCCCGCCGCTCCCGGATGGAGCTGCGGCCCGCTGTAACCCCTGCGCGCCCGCGCAGCGCGGCTCTCCCGGGACAGCGCCGGGCACCGCGGACAAATCCCCATCTTCTGGTTTTCCCATTCTCTTTTAATGGGGAGGAGAAAGTTCCGCCGAGCCTCGTGTTTCAACTGATGCCCGAATGATGGACTCGTTACAGACCAACAGGAAGGAAAACCCACCGGTTAGCGCTTGGCGTGATCCATTTCATTTCCATCTTTTACATTTCAAATAAATCGGGAAGCAAAACTTTAAGCTGCTCTAAGGAGCTCACTGGCAACTCAGTACACCTTGCCCCACACAAAGGGAGGACTGCCCTGTCCCCAGCGCCCCATCCAGCTCCTGCAGCCAGACACACACAGATGTGCATCAGGTAAGGTGTTCCAGCCCCAGCAGACCCAGGCCCCTCGCGCCGACGTGATTTAAAGTACCACTCTAGAGTGGTTATGGTGGAAATGCCGTGTAACACCTCATAACTAACCTGTTCCTGCCCAAACACAGAGGTTTCTCCATCCTTCAGGCTCAATACCCAGGCTCAATCCAATTACATTCCTGCAAGCACAGCTATTTGAATTATTTTAGTAAGTCAGACAACTACTCTTGTGCAAAACTTTTTAATAAAAAGAGAAAGGGCTCTCTGTAACAAAAAGCAGATACAATGCTAATAACAAAATTTAAAACTTTACAAAGATTTCAATAACCCAGATGTGAATTTGTGACAAAGACTATGTCTCAAGTTTAGAAAGTCTTACTTTTACACCTGAAAACACAGCCAACACATCTGTCAATTATTACTGAATTATAAACCCCATTTTTCTGTTTGGAGATTTACTGGTGTATTATCAAGTTTTAACATGTAGCATCCATGATGAAGCTGTGAATAATTCAAAATAATGTTGCTATAATGCTCAGATTCCTATAGAACCTTTCACATTTCATAGCTTTAACTGTTTTCCTTCCAACTCATGAACCAACATAAACAGTTATGTTCCCCTATATATATAAAAACTCAGCTTAAAAAAAAAACCCATCTCTTTCAGGTGACATAAAAAGAATTTCCACAAAGCCCACGGTTTTGCTTTAGAAATGATACTTGAAAAATATCTTTACAGGGAAAAATAAAAATTCAGGGTTTACCTTTTCTTCTGTTTTTATGCACATGTGTATTATGGACATCACTTTGCAGCAAAGATTTTGCCCTTAGTGACTACTTTCCTGCTTGTCAAAACTAAGCAGGCAGTAGGTAAGAAATGGCATGTAAGCTTGCTCAGTTACCCATCCTGGAGCATCAAGTGACAGCTGTCAGAATGTGAAGTACCTCACTTCTTCCACAGCACCAGGACCAAGCTGATGCCTCTCCCACACACGCCAACAACAGACTAGTGAGTAGCGTTAAGAATGAACCTGACATTTCCCAGTACTTCAAGCTGGTCAATACTTCAAAGGGATCCCACAGTCACTTCATGCAAAAAGGTGTCTGTTCACATAAATAGCCTCCGCGTCAGTACCATATACCAGGCATGGTCCTAGAACGTCTAAACTATTCACAGACAAAGTCTGATTTGGAATCAGGTTGGTGATTTCCATGCGGTCTTTGGTCGGATCACTGCTTAGCCAGGCACTTACTACAGACTGGTTAATGGTACTGTGGGAAAGATAGGCAGTGCTTCTTCCTCCTGAAAGAAGGAAGACAAAGAAATAAATTTCAATTCTGTTTATATATTCTCAGAATTTGGAGAAACACAGTAGATATGGGTCAGACATAATGAAAATATTACATTTAAGTCAGTTTTCAGAGTAGTTGAGATGTCAATTAAGGAAAAAGAAACTTTAAAAAATCAAGTACTTGAAATAATTACAAAAATTATCTACCAGCTCTACCCTCAGTTAAGACAAATATATCACAACAGCTATTAACTCATCTCACCGGACGGTGTAAGTACCTGCAAGTTTCTTTAGCCAGATACTAAAGCAAGGGTACAAGAACACGTCTGTTTATAGAGTGTCTTCCTCTATTTGGGGTTTTCAACTTGCGACAATAACACTTATTCCCTACTGCTCTTCCTCCATACTTTGCAGCAAGTGATAAATCTGTATTTGACTTTGAATTTTTCAAATTGAAGTCTCATACTGTAAGAACCATCATTCAGCATAAGATTAGCAGGTGTTGGAAGTGATGCTGAAGGATTTATACTTCATATACTTGAAAACATGCAGAGTCCAACTTGAATTAGTAATCCTATAATTTCCATAGATAAAACTTTGAATGACAACTTTGAGGCCAAAGGCAACAGGTGACATCTAAAAGTTTCCCCACTATTGTCTAATGTGGCAAGCACTTAGCAGTCTTTGTGATTAGAATGTGAAAATAAATGCATATATTAAAAGTCAGTATCATAACTTTAAAATCCTGCCACCATGCAAAAGGATCAAAAATGTTTCATTTATTGAAAATTCCAATTATTACCCTGAATTGTAAATTCATAATTCTACTGTCTCATTAACCTATCAATTATTTTTGTATTCTAAGTTAGTGTAACTCCCTTGGAGACTCAAAAATGTCAGTCAGGCTGTCTCTGTGTCTTTTCTACATACAGATGATTTTTAAGTGAATATAGTCTACCCTTCACACATTGGTCAGAGGGTAGCAGATTAAAAAAAACCAAACCAGACCATGAAAAGCCCTGCACAACTGTTTGCCGTATAAGTAGTTTTTCTCAAGTGTTTATCCAAGAAAAGTGCTTATCTAAGCTTGCTTTCTAAGAAAAGAAAGCTGCTTTTAATTTTCTGTATTAAGATTGTGTTATTAATTGGGTCATGTGAGAACACTGACTGTAATGATGTTACCAACTGACAAATTCTGTGCAGATGGACTTCAAACATCCTTACCTTGATGAAGGAAAGATGGTTTTTCAGATACATTTGTGGAAGTATCCCAGTGCCAAAGAGATCCATCTTCAGAACACGTGAATAAATGATCAGGGTCAGAGGGATGGAAGTGAACTTCCCACACTGGAAATATCAAACAGAACCACTTTAGAAGAAGTCTCAAGTACTTCAATCAAAGTATTTGGATAGTATGATATAGACATGTATTTACAAGAACCCATGCCTCCATCAAAACCTTTCATTTTTAATTGAAAGGCCCCATCCTAAGTTATATACTGCAGTTTTCCCTCTGCTGGCAGGGGTAAAGTGGTAGAGAAGAAAAACAAAGAAAAAGATGCTATTTTGTTGCATTTTTAGTACTGTGAAAATTGTTAAGGTCTTATGTGAATTCAGGCATTTTGCATACTATCATGTCATATTCCCTCCTGCTGTTAAGTTTAAATCCGCACATAGCGTGCATTCCTTCCCAGGACACACATTATTTTGTGTCTAAATACCACAACTGCAGAAGACATTTAAGTCAGTAAAATTTAATATCAAGAAATACTTTTACTCCTTTAATTTAAACGTAGCATCAAATCACAGGATTTTCTGCATAAAATTAATTGCTGTCCTGTTCACATAGTTACCAGGAAAGTGAGCTGTTTCAGCACTGTGAAGACAACAAATGAATGCTGAGTCTCCCCTTCTTCCTCATTTTTTCAAGTTTGTTAGTATCTGCATTTTGCTTTACTCTATCTGCACTAGCTTCCATGGTTGTGTATACAACTACCCTGCTAGAAGCACAGCCGTTCTGATCAAATGCATCTAACAGCTCATTAAAGAATTGCTTACTAAGTCTACTTTTAGTTTAGAGTTCACTTTTATATAAAAACAGTCTCCTATACAGAGAAGGAAGCCACATTTTCCAGATGAAAGCATGGAGCAGTAGGTATCCTGGTATAGAGATGAAGGTTAGCGATACAGAGTGAGGAAGGGCAAGAAGAAGCTGGACCTGAACCTGGCAAGGGATGAAAATAACAACAGGAAGGGCTTCTACAGGTATTCACCCAGAAAAGGAAGGTCCAAGAGGCTGTACACCCCCAATAATCAATACTAGAAAACTGGTAATACTGGACAGGGACAAGGCTGAGCTAGTCAACAACTTTCTTCAATGGCAATCTCTCTTCCCATACCTCCCAAGTGGGTCGGCTGCAAGACAGGGTCTGGGGGAGAAAAATCCTTCTCACTGTACAAGAAGCTCAGGTCCCACCTAAGGCACCTGAATGTACATAAATCTATGAGATGCATCCCAGAATCGTGAAGGAATTGGATGATGTAGTTGCCAAGCCACTCTCCATGTCTGAAAGGCTATGGGAGTCCAGTGAAATACTAGGGGACTGGAAAAAGGGAAAGATGAGCACAAGCCCATGTTTGA